AAATGATGGAATAATCCATTCAGTTATGTATCTATCTTTGGATTCATCATCTACACACTCAACTCAATCGGAATGTTCTGTTAAAGCTTGAGAGATGTGTCTATTTTCGTGGCAATTCGTGGTAATTCTTTAATGGAATAATCCATTAATCCACTGATCGAAAAAGGAATTAAATTCATAAAAACCCACACAATGTTTTTAAAATAATTTTTAATGCAAATACTTCGTCAAATTCAATATACACCGAGCATTAAAAAATACTATTTACAATCAGAGCCCCAATTTACATATGAACCAGTTACATATTACAGTTATTAGAATCCCCTAAATTTCCAATTGAATACTTTTCCATCTAGAATAATTTCTTCGCAGACGAGCGTTCCACCACGACCTTCGCCTTCTTCGTAGCCTTCGGAGTGATCCCAGCACTGGGTTTCCTCTTCCTCACAGCATTCCCCTTCCCCCTCCCCTCATCGCCCTCACCATCGCCTTCCTCACTGGCCCCAGCCACCGAAGGGCTCAAATGTGTAAAAACAAAATTCGCCCCTTTCTTGGGCGCCAGTCCAACGACATCAGTCTGCCTCGTCATCACCGCTAGTTTCGCGAGCACCTCGTCCCCCCTCGCCAAGAATGACCCCCTCTTCGCGGCAGTATTGACAATCCTCGAGGTTTTCAAGCTGCACTGCATCAGCTCTGAAACAGACCTCGGCACAATACTCTTCTTCACGAGCTCTGTGGCACTCGATGCCTCCAGGACACTCGTGTTATTCCTCCTCAATGCCTTCAGACCCAATGAGAACAGCTGCCCCCCCCCCCCCCCCCCCCCCCCCCCCCCCCCCCCCCCCCCCCCCCCCCCCCCCCCCCCCCCCCCCCCCCCCCCCCCCCCCCCCCCCCCCCCCCCCCCCCCCCCCCCCCCCCCCCCCCCCCCCCCCCCCCCCCCCCCCCCCCCCCCCCCCCCCCCCCCCCCCCCCCCCCCCCCCCCCCCCCCCCCCCCCCCCCCCCCCCCCCCCCCCCCCCCCCCCCCCCCCCCCCCCCCCCCCCCCCCCCCCCCCCCCCCCCCCCCCCCCCCCCCCCCCCCCCCCCCCCCCCCCCCCCCCCCCCCCCCCCCCCCCCCCCCCCCCCCCCCCCCCCCCCCCCCCCCCCCCCCCCCCCCCCCCCCCCCCCCCCCCCCCCCCCCCCCCCCCCCCCCCCCCCCCCCCCCCCCCCCCCCCCCCCCCCCCCCCCCCCCCCCCCCCCCCCCCCCCCCCCCCCCCCCCNCCTCCACTCCAGTTCGCTCTCCCCCTCGTGGTTCTCCTCCTCCCCTAGGTCCTCCTCGTTCGTCGGTCCATCCTCCAGTCCAATTTTATCAATGTTCCTCCACCTGAACTTCCTCTCACGCCCCTGGCCGTCCTCGTGCAGATCCCCATCATCAAACAACATCTCCTTCAACATCCTCACGTCCCTGTTGTCCTCATCCAACAGCTGCCTGGCATGCACCTTCCCAATTTGATCCCTCATGAGGGCCTCGTCGATCTCCTCAGCGTCAGCCTCCTCCAGCTCGTACTTGTCCAGGTCCCTCTCATCCTCGTCCTCAGAGCCCCACTCACTCTCACTCAGCTCTGCCTCCTCCTCCAAATAATTAGCAGCGACTTTCTTGATGTCCTTCTTGGGAACCACCGCCACTTCATTCTCCTCTGAGTCGTAGTCCACGAATTTCTCCTCCTCAGGGTCGTCTTCTGGCTCAGATTCACCAGACGAATATTCCTCCTTGCCCGCGTCATAGTCCTCGTTCTCGTCGTCAGACAGCACCAGTTTCTTCACTCGTTTCTTTCTCCTGTCATCGGGGGGTTTACTCTCCTCGTCTTCGGAGGACGAGGCGATGTCCAGGGGTTTCCCAGGGGCTTCCTCTCCCTCGGAGGTCTTAGACTCCTCGATTTTCTCTGGCTCGTCGTCAAATGTCAGTCTGAAATCGTCGTCAACCTCTTGGGGATCGTTTTCTGGGGCTTCAGGCTGGGTTGCAAAAGCCCCTGAGCACAGCCCCATCAGCTGACTCTCTGTCACCCTCTGGGACGACGAAGAGTCCACTAGTCCCTTCAAATTTGGTCTACTGCTCTGGGTGCTGACCTCGGCATCTGGGAATTTTCCAGAGCACAGGTCGAAGAGATCTGTGTCTTTCACTGGACTGTTATCCTCCTCGAATAATTTATTCCTCACAGCCTCCAGTTCTCCAGAGGTTGATGGCTTCGGACTGCCCCTCGGGATGAAGGGGGAAAAATCTGATATCTGGGTGTTTGAGAGCAGGTTCTTCGAGGCTGAGGCTGACTGCGAGGTCAGCTGGCTGAACTCTGACAAGGGAGAGCCCAAGGAGAAAGGTTTACTCGTTGATGGGGTTTTGCAGGGCTGGCTCGCTGGGATCGAGTCGATCTCATCGTCCTCAGCGAAAATATCGACGTCTGTGTTCGTTCTTTCGAATGGCCTTATGGCAGGTGTGGCGTCAGTATTTTCGTCGTCGGAATCGTCTTCTAGCTGGATTATTCTGCTGAACTTCTTGGATTTGTTCAAGTCTTCTTCCTCTTCTTCATCTTTTTCATCCTCTTTCTCCTCTTCATCTTTCTCCTCCTCATCCTCCTCTTCTTCTTCCTCCTCCTCCTCTTCATTTTTATCATCCTCTTCCTCATCATCTTCCTCCTCATCTCCACTGACTTCAGCCTCATCATCCCCAAAAGCACTAGCCTTCCTCTTCTTATCCTCAATCACAATGTCGTCCTCCTCAGGCTCGCTCTCCCCTTCTTCCTCCTCCTCCTCCTCCTCCTCATCATCAACAGTCATCACCTCCTCAATCTCATCATCCTCCCCCTCCCCCTCAGCCTCCCTCTCCCTCTGCTTCCACTCCTCATGCCTCTTCACCGCCATCCTCTTCTCCAACTCCTCCTTCAACCTCAGCAACTTAACCCCAGGCTTATTCAAATCACTGTCCTCACCCTTATCCCCTCTCACTTTATACAACAAAGTGTCCTTGACGATTTTCAACCCATCAGGGGTGATCTCTGTATTCAGAATCGTCACCTCAGTGTCTTTATCATCACTCTTAGACACTGCTGAGTGCTTCGTGATAAATCTGTCGACTAGACTCTCCACAGCTGCTTTATCAGGCCTCGAGGTATTCGTCAAATCAATCATCATCCCTGGGTTCCCGCTGAGTTTGGGCTTGGACGTTGTTCCCTTCAGCAGAACAGCTTTCTTGGGGTTCTGGGGGGCTGGATGTGTAGCTGAAGAGGCTGTCGTCGTCTGAGGAGTGACAAAATCATTCCTCTCTTCCTTGGGATCGTCCTCTGGGAGGGGCAGCCCCAGAACGTGACTATCTGGCTCATCATCTTCATCGTCTTTACCTGCTGTTGGTTCACCAACACCTTCAGACCTGTTCAGAGGACAATTCCTGGCGTTAAGTTTCATAAACTCCTTGTTGGGGACCATTGGAGTCTCTGAGATGGCGCAATCGTCTGGTTTTCCATCTTCTTCATCACAAGTTTTATCTTTTAGAGGCTCTGGGGACTCTCCAACTGTCTCCGGCACCTCTTCTGGAGCATCTGGAGGCCCAGGGATGTCCTCTGGAGGTGATTCTTGAGGGATTGTGGAGCCAACCCCAGAATCCAAACTCAGTAAGTCGTTGTCTGAAGGTGTGCCTGCACCTTCTTCAAAACCGTCGAACAATTTCCTGGGGATGCTGGCCTCCTTCAGCCCTCGTTTGAACTCCTTCTGGGGGGGATTGCCCTTGTCTGCTCTCTCCTCCAGGGTACCTCCTGGAGGCGCTGGGGAGGCGCCATCCATGAATAATTTTCTGGGAACTCCGAATTCCAGAGAGCCATTGTGGATTATCTGCTGTCTGTTGTGGACGTCCACCTTCTGCAGCTTCTGGGTGTCCTCTATCGATATTTGCTCGGACTCTGGGGGCGCGGGGACGACCTGGTGGGGCTCCTCGGGGTCTTCCTCGGAGTCTGATGACTTGTAGAATATCTCGGCCTCTTTTTCCTTCTCTTCGAGCACTTGGTTCACGATTGACGCTGAGTTTTTTAGTCTGCTCGCTGTTGTGGTGGCTTTTGGCAGGGAGGAGGAGACTTTCCGGCGGCTCAGGAAGTCCTCCAGGGTTCGCTGCTTCGGAATGTGGTACGGGAGGGAGATCGAGGACTCGCGGATTAGGCGCTGGGTTTCACTGCGGATCTTGCTCAGGGCCTCGTCTTTTGCTGCTCGCTTCGACTGATTTTTCTTTGGTTTCGTCGATTTTTTTGGGTCTTCGGGGCTGTGGGGGGTTTGCTCTTCGGGGAAATCGGGGCGGGGGGCCTCCTCCTCGGATTCAGAGTCGATTAGGCTCGATATTTTGGTTGATTTCTGAAATTTAAAGGGGGTGAGGGGTTAGAGAGGATTTTAAAACGGTAATTCGATGCAGATCAATTCTTTTCATTGAATTTTCATCGAATATCTCAAATAGAACTTTTCTCATTTCTAAATTTTAAATACTACTTTAGTTATTAGAAATATTTCAAATACTATTCAAACTGATCCTAATGAAAATAAAGCTACAAAAGTAGGATTCTACGAAAATTTAATGAATTTTGTATTTTGGTTGACTTCTGAAATTTTAAGGGAGTGAGGGGTTAGAGAGGATTTTAAAACGGAAATTCGATGCAGATCAATTCTTTTCATTGAATTTTCATCGAATACCTCAAATAGAACTTTTCTCATTTCTAAATTTTAAATACTACTTTAGTTATTACAAATATTTCAAATACTATTCCAACTGACCCTAATGAAAATAAAGCTACAGAAGTAGGATTCTACGAAAATTTAATGAATTTTGTATTTTGGTTGACTTCTGAAATTTAAAGGGGGTGAGGGGTTAGAGAGGATTTTTAAAATATGTGGACGTTATTTTATGGAAATTTGATGCAGATGAATTCATTCAAGTGAATTTGCATGGAATATTTCGAATAGAACTTTCGTCATTTCTAATGATTTAGTACTACTTTAGTTACTATAAATATTTCAAATAGCAATTCAACTAATCCTAATAAAAATATGATTTCAATAAGTGATTATAATGGAATATCGGTTGAAATATAATATACATGTGGAAAAAAAATTAACAATTACACTTTTTCTTCATACATTTCAAGCAAGTGAAATATAATTGTTTCAGGGAATTTTCATCAAGTATTCCAACTATTTCTCTTAATCCATCTGAATAGTATTCAATTTTCAATATTTGATAAATAGAAAATAATTCAATAGCGAAGTGATGAAATGGTTGAAGTAGATTTCGACTAGTGTCCAGTTTTTAATGAATATCTCGGAATCTAAGAGAGATAGCAAAATTTTTGTCAATACCTTTTTTGTAGCCCTCGATTCGCTCTACAAAAAAGGTCATTACAGAAATTTCATCATCTGCCTTAGATTCGGAGATATTCCTCAAAAACCACCTGAGGCCTAAACTCCAATCATTTTATCGTTTCACGACTGAATTTTTATTTCTAATTTTTTAAATATTCCCTCATTCATTACAAATCGTCTCAATAACAGTTGAAATCATGTTCCACACAATTCTACTGGAAATAAATTTACAGAATAGGTTTTTATGGAAATTCCTTCACCAAAAATTCTTCTTTGAACCCAAAATTCACTGAATCATCTTACTTGTTTTAATTCTGCTGTCACTGGAGTTGAATCATTCTCCTGATCATCATGATCTGAATCAGAATCACTCTGGACAGTGACCCTGGAGAATCCACTCTTCATCCTTTTGACCCTGTCCAACGTGTCGTCTTCACTCTCATCATCAGCTTTGTCATGATTCCCCTTTTTTTCAGAAGTCTCATCCTCAGAGTCGCTGTCAAAAATCGCTCGCGATCTTTTTCCATTCCTGGGCTTGTCAGCCATGACCTCTTCGCTTTCCTCCTCCTCACTCCCACCAACGGGAGGTGATTCTTCAGGGTCAACTGTTGGAATTTCACTGGCTGAACCTGGGGGATTGTCTTTTTCCTCAATCAGAGAATCTGAAACGACATCTCATTGGCTTCAAAATACAGAATACAATAGGGGAAGGTGGGTGGGGTAAAATGGACGTTTGCCTATAAAAAAAATTAATTTCAAAAATTAAAAATTAGAAATTTTAAATTTATAAATTTCTAATGAAGAAATTAAAATTAAGAAAAATTGAGAAAAAAAATTATAAATTTCTAATTTTTAAAATTATTATTTTTCATTTAATTAAATTTTAAACTTAAGTTTGCCTTCAAATAAATTTAAATTTAATTTATTTGTTTGTTTAAAACTCAGAAACAGATTTATCAATTGAGATCAGTTTAGGCTCATCACAAAGGGGAAGAATTGTTCTTTTCATTGAAAAAAAAAATACTCCATTTGATAAACAATTGAACCCGTCATTAACGTTTCAAAAAAAGTTAAAAGTGTTCATTTTGCCCCAGCCGGCCCTATTTTTCTGATCTTGGTGGGTCAGGATCCACTTATTGTCACTTGGAGAACATCGTCTTGTACCCAGGAATGAGGAAATGTCAATGTTCTCACCTGATTTTTCCCCAGAATCGAGTGCTGGGGCTTCCGGAGTGACATCCGAGACCTCCTCCATCGTGAAATAATAAAAAAAAAGATAAGTTGAGTAAATAAAATCAAGGGAATTAGGACGAACTAGCCTCCACGAAGACAAACATTCCAATGTTCCCAGTCAGCTGAGAAATCCCGCCAAAACTTGCTCCGAAATTCGATGCAGATGTCACTAATATATTTGTGAGAGGGCGTATGTGCACGCTCTGATAAAATATCGACTGCTGTTGTTGCAGAGTTCAGAGGATGATAAATTTGAAAGTTCAGCGATTAAAATGGAAATGCGAATGCAAAAGTGTTGAGCGGAATAAATACTAGTCAAAATAATCAAGTTAAATTGAATATCATGAATAATATTACCTATTTTATTTCACTAATCAGCTATTTAATTGCATTGAAAATAAAATAGAATGAGTCATTTTGAGAGATTAATCAAATGTTTTTATCTATTTCGAAATATGCAGTGCATATATTCCAGCGAATTTTCAAATACAATTCTAGATAATTGATGACGACGCGCGGTAAATAAAAATAATCACCTCAAGTAAATTAATTTCATGGATATGAAATGAAAAAAAATGGAAAGCAATGGCTTTATGAAACTGTCATCGAAAATTCCAAAAATATAAAAACCCCTTCAATATCTCCCAGAACTCGATGACTCCTGAAATCCCAATCAGTTATAAATATTTCACCTAATCATCCCCTTCCCAAATCCACACTCCCAATTTATCGAACGAATACCCCACGGCTCAGGGCGTATCTCATCTAATTATAACTCATTCTGTTAGAGAGCCTCAGGGGCCTTGTAAGGCTTGGCCCCAGCTGGGGAGCGATTCATGTCTCCACGAGAGTATCACCGATCCCCGATGTGTCTCCCCCCTCCCCCGCTCTCCCCTCACCTCCGCCGCATTCACGTCTCTATTTTTACTATTTCTTAATTCGTCTCCCGCCAACTTCCTCTCCGTACTCTCGCATTATTCCCCACTTGACTCGAGCATTTGGTCTTGTCGTAAACTTGGACATATGGCAGGCACTTGCGCTGGAAATCTGCGTGGGGTCATTTTTTTTTTTCCCACGAGTCGAGCCGATTTTTTCGTTCCAGGGACGAAGAAGTGAGCGGGACCGCACCGATAGAAAGAATTATTCAGTAGCGAAACGGTAAACCGGGTTAAGTCGTTTTTTACTATTGGCTAGTTTTTGACGAATATCTCGGAATCTAAAAGAGATAGAAAGATTTTTGTCATGAGCTTTTTTGTAGAGCTAATAGAGCGTTATAAAAAAAGTCATGAGAAAAATTTTGCTATCTCTCTTAGATTCCGAGATATTCAGCAAAAACTGGCTAATAGTCAAAATCGACTTAACTCGGTTTACCGCTTCACTACTGTATTCGTTCTCACCAAATGTTCATTCGTTAAAAGTTAAAAAATGCATATTTATGAATAAATAAATCATTCAATTAGTGTGAGGGATGACGAGGGGGCTTTACCCTCCGCAAATCACTGGCTTCAACATTCTCTTAATATACAATAAGTTTTATTATAATTATTATTTATAAGGATATGATAAGAAGAACGAGATTACGCTGGACAACAATATGAGCCAGCGAATGACAGATGTTGGATGTTCCATGCGCTTTCTCCATACTTTTATCTTTGGTGGTTTATTTATTCTTATAATTATATGAATGCTAATCATTGAGATTCTTTCGTGTTGTGACTGATTGAACGGGCACTGGAGATTATTCATATCGGCGGGTTGGGCGGGTGGGGGA